TCTTAGGAATCGGAAACTGTTGGATCTTGTCAGTCACAGAGCCCAGTATGAGACACATCTTAACCTGACCAGGTAACCTCCCAAAACTTGACTGCTGGCTCAGGGCCTTATACTTTTCTGTGGATTGATGGCACGTCCTTGCTTATTCAGATGAGAGCAGAGACTGTTCAAGTAAGACTCTAACGAAGTCTTCAGAGGTTAGCATCACGTCATTGACATAATGGAACCTTTTAACTGTGAGTAGTGGTGGATATAAAGACAAATCACGAGCAGTCCTACCATGATAGATAGTGGGGCTGTGCAAATATCCTTGTGGCAATACCTGGAATGCCCATTGTCAACCATCCCATGTGACTCAGGATGCAAAGGAATACTAAAGAAAGCATTGGGGGGGGGGGGGTAGTGCCTGGGTGGCTTAGTCGGTTCAGCCCTGACTCTTGGTTTCCGCTCAGGTCCTGATCTCAGGGTCGTCGGATCGAGCCCTGCATCAGACTCTGTGCTCAGCTGGGAGTCTGCTTGAGATTCTCTGTCCCTTTGCTACCCACCCCCCACATGTGCTCATGTGCGCACGCGTGCTCTCTCAAATAAATAAAATCTTTTTTTTTTTTTAAGATTTTATTTGAGAGAGAGAGCACAAGCAGGGGGCGTGGCAGGCAGAGGGAGAGGGAAGCAGGCTCCCTACTGAGCACAGAACCCGATACAGGGCTCGATCCCACGACCCTGAGATCAGGACCTGAGCTGAAGGCAGACGCTTAACCAACTGAGCCACCCAGGTGCCCCTCAAAAATAAATAAAATCTTTTTTTTTTTTTTAAGATTTTATTTATTTATTTGAGAGAGAAGGAGCGCATGAGCCGGGGCAAGGGCAGAGAGGGAAGCAGGCTCCCTGCTGAGCAGGGAGCCCAATGCGGGGCTCGATCCCAAGACCCTGAGATCAGGACCTGAGCTGAAGGCAGACGCTTAACCAACTGAGCCACCCAGGCGCCCCTCAAATAAATAAAATCTTAAAAAAAAAAAAAAGTAAGCATTGGCTAAATCCAAAACCACATGGTAAGAGCCTACACCATGTACTATTTGTTCAGTGATTTGGGTAATATTAGGACAACCTTACTTAGTTCTCTATGAACCATGATCATTCTCCAGGTGCCATCTGGTTTCTTCACAGGCCATACAGCACTATTATAGGGATTTTTTGCTGGCCTGATTATTTGTACTCTTGCTAATTCCCATATAGTGGCAGGTATTTCCTCAAATCCTCCTAACAACCAGTATTGCTTTACATTTATAACCTGGGGAGGGGTAACAGGATCCCAATTTGCATTTCCCCTTAAGACAGTTTTAATTACTATAAATCGAAAGTGAAATTCTCCTACAGAGCTTTGTAGTAGTTTTTTCCCAGAAGAATATATATGGCTAATATATTCTCCAGTATTGGAGAAATGAAAACCTCATAAGGAGCAGTTGGGCTTTTATTCTCAAGTGTGCTGTTGTGCATTTCACCCTTATGCTCTTCTTTTCTTTTTTTAAGATTTTACTTATTTGTCAGAGAGAGAGCACAAGCAGGGTGAGCAGCAAGCAGAGGGAGAAGCAGACTCCCCGCTTAGCAAGGAACCCGATGTGGAACTCGATCCCAGGACCCTGGGATCATGACCTGAGCCGAAGGCAGCCGCTTAACTGACTGAGCCACTCAGGCGTCCCTAGAGCTTTTTTTTTTTTTTTAAGATTTTATTTATTTATTTGACAGAGAGAGACAGTGAGAGAGGGAACACAAGCAGGTGGAGTGGGAGAGGGAGAAGCAGGCTCCCCGCTGAGCAGGGAGCCCGATGCGGGGCTCGATCCCAGTACCCTGGGATCATTACCTGAGCCGAAGGCAGCCGCTTAACGACTGAGCCACCTAGGCGCCCCTAGAGCGTTTTTTTTTTAATACAAATTTTAGCAGTACCATCCAGAGGTAGAAAATACGACATAACTATAATGCATACATATGGACACACAGAAACACCCAGATACAGAGACTTTATAGCTTAAAATTACTGCCATGAAATAGGTACAAAACGCACTCGTGAATGTTGGATCTAAATTTGTTTTTTTTGGTAGATGGAATAAGGTAAGGTAACCTGTCTAGATGGCTTAAGCTTTTTCCACTTGTATTTGGAGAAGATACTTAAGATTTATATGTCCTTTTAACAGAGAGAAAACCAAATTCTAATTTTTCACCAGCTTTTGATATTAAAACTCATTTTAATATAAATTCATTTTAATCTTAGCCAGCTTGACCACACATAATATTCCTTTCCAAATAATCCTTTTCCACAGACCTACAACTTTCTCCATTCTGATTTTGTCCTGTTTTTTTTCTCTTCAGACCACCAGATGCTCTTTAGGACAAAATTATTTTTTTATTCCTCAACAAAAAAGCATCTCCATTTTTCATACCTTCTCCTACTGAAAACACATCCTACTTACCTGGCATACAAAGATATTTCCCATGAGTTCCATGGTTTAGCATCCCAGGCTGGCTTCAAATGATGATTGTAATCCAAAGTTGCCACATTTGGGGTGCCTGGGTGGCTCAGTTGTTAAGCGTCTGCCTGCGGCTCAGGTCATGATCCCAGGGTGCTGGGATCAAGCCCCGCATCAGGCTCCCTGCTTGGCAGGAAGCCTGCTTCTCCCTCTCCCACTTCCCCTGCTTGTGTTCCCTCTCTCGCTCTCTCTCCCTCTGTCAAATAAATAAATAAAATCTTAAAAAAAAAAAAAAGTTGCCACATTTTATGTCCCCCAGGGCGCACAAAGTGACAGATACACTGAAGTCTCAATTTGTGCATCCTGGGTTTAGATAGTATCTACCAAATTAGAAACCAAAAGAGATGTGGATATAGTCTCCTGTCCTTCTCCAGTTGTAATTCTTTATCCAACTGCCTTATTTCATTTCTGACACTAGCCAGACATTGATGGTCATCTGAAGGGCCCATAGGAGCAGCCAACCAACCAGGGCCACTGCTTGGCGGCCTTCCTTACCCCAGTGGGTCATGCAACTTTGTAATAGCTCTAATCCATTTGGCATCTTCAGGATGTCCCCATACTCATTCAGCAGTCCATAGGCATCAAGCAAACAGATTGTGCCTTCCCACATTAATGTGGTCAGCCACTCCAGGGTTTCCCCCAACAGAAGCTTCGTTTCCTTGCCCATTCTTCAGTCTCTGGGCTCCTCCTGGCTGGCTCACCAATTGTTCTATGAAAGGGAGGTAATATGCAAAATGATATGCAAAGGCTGAAGGAGCCATAAGACTGAAGAAAAAGGCCAAGAAGTCCAGCTTGACAAAAAATGGTTTGTTAAAGGGGCTTCTGGACAGAAGTCCCTCTTGGGCAGCTGCAAGACAAGTAGATCTCTGCAACTCCACCTCCTATAAGACCTGCTTTTACAGCCCTAAAGGCTGAGGCGTTCGGGCTGGGAGACCACCTGGGAAGGAATGTTTGAGAATCATAATCTCCAGAGCAGATCAAGGACATTATGCCCCAAGGGTGTGGTTAAGGGTGTGGCTAAACAGAAAGAATGGGGCAGGGAAGACTGTGCTCTAGAAGGCTTCAGATCACAGAGTGGTCATGGCAGATTTGTCCAAGATGCCATTAGTCTGGTTCACACAACAGTGTAAACATAACTTTTATATTCACCGCGAAACCAAAAAATTCGAGACTGACTTTATTGTGATACTCACTTTATTGCAGAGGTCTGGAACAGAACCAGCAATATCTCTGGGATATGTCTGTATGTTTTATTGGCATAGGATGTTATCCATATGATTTTATTTCTGGATATAGCTCATATTTAAATATGAAGATAGTTCCTGGGACCCTAGATACCTACCTTATAAGCCTCTTCACTGTTCATTAAAATTCAAAGTGTTATTCTCCCCTTAATTCCCTTATCAACAAATGATTATTGAATACTTGCTATGTACACAGAATGGTTTGTTTCTCTCAAAGATGTGGGACTAGTTGACGAGACAAAACTTACACAAATGCAACAAAGAAAAATGCATTATGAAAGGATCACTCAGGCCAGAGAGGAACAGAAACTGGGACATCAGTTATGAGATGAGCTCATTCATTCATTCAGCAAACATTTACTAAGGACTTTCTATGGATGTAAGTCAGTTTGTTAGTCCTCACAGCTATAAAGACAGATTAGGCAGTCTTGGCTCTCAGAGTTTACAGTCCAGCTTCTGAGGGGACAGATAATGAAAGACTGAAGTATAAAATGGTATTACTGTATAAGGAACAGTAGGAGCAGAAAGTTGAGAAGGGGATAATCAGGAGAGGATCCAGAGTTGACATTTCAGTGAAGTTTGGGAAGTAGACTAGGTCTTTTACCAGGTGTTTACTGAGCTATTGCAGTAGTTCAGGTGAAAATAATAAGCCAACAGGAATGAAGGAGGCAACAGATTAAACTGGTGTTCCAGCAGCAGAATGGCTGATTTTTGATAACTTTCCTGTAGTCTTCTTAGTCAGCAAGAACTCTGAAGACAGCCAGGGAGATGGCGATCAAAGGAAGAAAGCAAGGAGGAGGAACAAGTGTAGGGAGGAAAATAAGTTTTGTTAGTTTGAAGTATTTGCATGACAATGACATTCACATATAAATCCCCAGTAGGCACTTGAGAACTAACAGTTACTTTTTTAAAATTACCTAATAGTAAGTCTCATTGCCAAATTTTTATTTCTATACAGAAGAAATCTATTTTAATACTGCTTTGTTCACTTACTATAACACCTTTCACTTTAAAGAAATTTAGTAGATGGAAATGCGATTCTTATATGTAGTGAATAGGGAAACTTCTAGAAAGCCAACTTCTAGAGGAGAAGAAAATACTCATCAATTGGTACTAAGTTATCCAAAAAGAATAATATTTTTTCTTTATTGAGGTTTAATTGACTTAACACTTTATTAATTTCAGGTATACAATGTAATGGTTCGATATCAGAGTAATTTCTTTTTAATCCCAGGAATGGAAGATTGTGAAACAATGGAAGATGTATATATGGCTTCAGTGGAAACAGATCGGGGAGTAAAGGAACAGTTACATCTTTATGACACCAGAGGCTTACAGGAAGGCGTGGAGCTACCAAAGCATTATTTTTCATTTGCTGATGGCTTTGTTCTTGTGTACAGTGTGAATAACCTTGAATCCTTTCAAAGAGTAGAGCTTCTGAAGAAAGAAATTGATAAGTTTAAAGACAAAAAGGAGGTAAGTGGGTCTGTTAAAAATGCTGATTATGAATTGTAATATTTAAATTGTAGCATGAACTTTTGGGCAGTTAAAATATTTAAAAAACATTAAGTTGTATGCACAGTATCTGTAATCTTCATAATATTTTTTCTTAGCCCAGGAAATACAGGATTGAACGAATTCAATCAGGACCAGCGTTTGACTTTCTGCTTTTGCTTGTTACCATGTGCAAGTTGAACTTTAATGACACTGTGTCTCAAATACTATGTAGTTCACTTCATATTGTTTGGGATCGCTGTTTCCTAGGGCTCTCTTTGTCTCATTGGCTAAATAGGATTCTTGTTTTCGGCCTTAGCAGAAAATAATAAATATAAATATATATAAATAAATAAAATGATTGGATTTTCCTCATTTACTACTGAGAAATAAGTGCCTTACCGTGATCTGTAGCCTTAAATCTGGCCCATACCTATCCTTTTCGTCTTATTTTTATCATTTTGTTCCTCTGTCACTGTACTCCTGGGATACTGGTATACCCTTTGTTTTATTCAACGTGATGATTTTGTTCCCCTGTTAAGTCTTTGTCAATTGCTGGTTCCCTCCCTGGAACTCTGAACGCAGCTCTTTCTCCAGATCTTCACACAGCTGACTCCCTGTCATCTAGGGAACCACATAATATATTGGTTAACAGCACTGGCTAGATGTTCTTAACCTAGATTTTTGTATTTTATTTATTATGTTAAGCTTATTTTGAGATAATTGTAGATTCATATGCAATTTTAAGAAATAATAGAGATCTCTTACCCAGTTCCACCAGTGCTAACATTGTACAAAACTCGTATAATGTTACCACCAAGATATTTAGGTTTATAGTCAAGATACAGAACAGTTCCGTCATTGCAAGGATCCCTCCTATTATCTTTTTTTGCCACACCCACTTTCCTCCCATCCCCCTCCCCTTAATCCCTGACTAATCTATTTTCCATTTCTATAACCTTGTCATTTCACGAGTTTTAACATAAATGGACTCATACAGTGCGTAACCTTTTGGCATCAGCATTTTTCACTCAGCATAACTCTCTGGAGGGTCATCCAAGTTATTGCATGTATCAGAAGTTCATTCCTTTTTATTGCTGAGTGATATTCCATGGTATTTATGTACCAAAGTTTATTTAACCATTCACTTGTTGAAGGACATCTGGGTTGTTGATATCTTATTATTTTGAATACTTATTTGCTTTGTGAATAGATTACAGTTACAAGGTTCAGTCTTCAAAAGACATAAGAGGCAGGTAATGGATGCTCTCCTCCCACCTGTTTCCCATTTTTCCCACCTAAACAGATAAATGCTGTTATTTTCTTAGGGTATCCTTCATATTCTCCTCCCTGCCCCCCAAAAGTTGAAAGAATGATTTACTGAACCACTCATATTTGATACTCGAATCTTGGCTCTGCTTCTCAACTTTCTGCCTCAGTTTCCTTAACCGTAAAATGGGGATAAGAGTACCCTTCTCATATGGTGGTTAGGGAGATTTAAGAAGCACATTCATTCAACAAATGCTTATTGAGCAACTACTATATGCCTGGCAGTTTTAGGTAAAAGGTACGGAGAATACAATAGACAAACAAATGTGTATTATGAAGAGGGCGCCTGGGTGGCTCAGTTGGTTAAGCGACTGCCTTCAGCTCAGGTCATTATCCTGGAGTCCCTGGATCGAGTCCCGCATCGGGCTCCCTGCTCTGCAGGGAGTCTGCTTCTCCCTCTGACCCTCTCCCCTCTCATGTGCTCTCTTTCTCATTCTCTCTCTCTCTCAAATAAATAAATAAAATCTTAAAAAAAAAAAAATGTATATCATGAAGAGTCAGATGCTATGTAGAAAAGTAAAGTAGAGCAGGGTGCAAGGGTACTGTTTTTCTGTAGGGCAATCTGGGAAGGCCTCCCTGATAAGGTAACTTTTAGCAGAGATTTGAAGGAAGTGAGGGAGGGAGCCAGGCCCATGTGGTGGAGGAGTGCTCCAGGTGGAGGGACTAGCTGGTACAAGGGTCTGGGAAAGTTTGCTTTGTCATGTTCAGGAACAACAGTGAGGCCAGAGTGGGCTAGGAGGAGTATGGTAGGAGATGAAGGCCACACTTCGGATCAGAAGCCATTGGTTTTGAGCAAAGGAAAGACATGATCTAGCTTAGGTTGCATTTATTTATTTATTTTCATGTTTGATTTAAAAAAACATTGGATAGGGATTGCACATGGCTCAGAAGTAAAAATGATACATAAAAAGGACTATTGTGAGGTCTAGTTCCCACCCCTGTCCTCAACCACCGAGTTCCTTTATCTCAAGCCTACTATTCATTTATTTTTTTATTCATTGATTGATTGATTGTAAACTCTGTGCCCAACATGGAGCTTGAACTCATGACCCTGAGATCAAGAGTCACATCCTACACCACCTGAGCCAGCCATGTGCCCCTCAAGCATGCTTTTTAAATATTTTACCACTTGTTTTGGGGCATCCTTCCTAAGTTTCTTTAGATAAATACAAGCAAATAGGAATATACATATAGTTTTCCCCCACCCCCACTTTCTTACACCAAAGGTAGCATAGTGTTCGGCACCTTACATTCATGTAATATATCTTGGGAGTCCTTTCCATAGCAGTACTCAGATTCCTTTTATAATTTTTTTCTATTTTTTATTTTTATTTAAGATTTTATTTATTTGACAGAGAGGGGGAACACAAGCAGGGGGAGTGGGAGGGAGAAGCAGGCCTCCCACTGAGCAGGGAGCTTGATGCGGGGCTCGATCCCAGGACCCTGGGATTATGACCTGAGTCGAAGGTAGTTGCCTAACAACTGAGCCACCCAGGTGCCCCTAGATTCCTTTTTTTAAAAGTGATGCATATTCATTGCGTGGGTGTATACTTACTTAACCAGGTCCAAATTGATGGATACTTGGGCTATTTATAGTCATTTGCTATTATGAACTGTGCTACAATGAATAATCTTACATACTTATTATTTTGTATGTTTTAGGGTATAGTTGTAAGATCAGCCAAAATGGGGTTTTTGAATCAAAGGATATATTGCCAAATTACCTTCCATAACAAGGGTATGAAAGTGCCTGTTCTCCAGTCTTGACAACAGTGTGTGCTTGTGGATTTTGTGCATCTTCTGGGTGAGAATGGTACTTTAGTAGTTTGTTTCCTTAATATGAATAAGGCTAAACATCTTTTGACTTGTTTTAAAATGTTCATTTTGGCTGCTGTGTTGACAACAGGCAACATAGTTGAGGGACAAGGTGAGAAGCAAGTTTTGTGAAATGCTATTGCTCTGGAGCACTTAAACAGTTACCAATTGAGGAGAAACCACTTTAAAAATAGGGAGTGATCTAACTATGTCATGGTGCAGATAGGTCAGAAAAGCTGAGGGCAAAGACGTGGCCAGCCTTTAGAAACTTGGGATGTCTTTTGTTTTTTTTTTTTAAGATTTTATTTATTCATTCGAGACACAGAGATAGAGCGAGCGAGCGCGAGCAGGGGGGAGAGGCAGAGGGAGAAGCAGCCTCCCCGCTGAGCCAAGAGCTGGACATGGGGGTCGATCTCAGGACCCTGGAATCATGACCCGAGCCGAAGGCAGATGCTTAACCATCTGAGCCACCCAGGCACCCCGAAACTTGGGATGTCTTAAGAACACAGTAAAACAGTGAGATGAAGTTTGATTGGACTGGATATAAGGATTAAACACAGCAAAGATAGCTCTTTGAAAGAATTTTGAGTCAAAGGGTAAATATATTGTCCTATAAAGGGAAACGGAGCTGGAGAAGGATGTGTAAAAGAGGGCTTTTTTAAGCGAGAGCTAGTGTTTGTATGCTCATGGAATGATTCGATAGGAGAAAATTGATGGGGAGGGGAATAATTGCTAGAGTGACAGTCTTGTCTAGGATAGAGGATGGGTTCTAGAAGATGGTAGGTTGTTAGATGTGGTGGTGGATGCAGGTGAAAGTTTAAATTGCTTCTGTTTTCTTACTGAAATAGTATGGACATCAGCTGAGAGTAAGGGGGGAAAGAAGAGATGTTGGAGGTTGAAGAGGGTCAAGGTAGGAGCTGTTAATATATTTGCTGGAGAACACCAGGTCACTTAAAGTCAGTGGTTATTGAACTGGGACCAGCCAGGAGGGCTGTTTTTTTCCCCTCCATCCATGTTCAGTAGGTGGTGTAGGCACAGTCCAATTAAGAGTTAAATTTAAGGTGGGGGGGGGTTGGCCAGGTGAATATAATGGGATGATGATGTCAAGGTAGTAAAAGAATCTAAACTGGGCCAAGAACTGAGGACAGGAGGAGGGTTGAAGGACAGTGATCAAGGTAAGAGAGACAGTGGGTTGCAGGTCCTTCTGGTGTTGAGGATTGTTGTAGTCAGGGTGTTAGGCATGAACTAGGAAGGTATGGGTGGGAGTGGGATTCCTGGAATTGGGACTATAGAGGGGAACAATTACAATGGCAGGAGTAGGATGTGTTCATGGGAGTGAATGGCCGAAGAAGTCAGGAGGATGATTAAGGCTATTTGGGAAGGGTCATCCATATGGTTAGTGAAGTCACTAGGACTTAACGATAGAAATAGTGTGGGAGTGACCATGAGCCAGGTCTGTAATGAGTAGCAACAGGGTGGGGGTGGGAAACAGGTAGTAGGTAGTACAGACTAATAGTACCAGCCTTCAGTTTTAGGGTTCTTAGAGGACATTATTGGAGGCAGCACCGAGGGGCAAGGATACCCCTTACATCCCCTGTGCCCACTGTGGTAGTGAGTACTACAGAGGTGAGCCAGTTTCAGCTAGGAAAGATGAAGGGAACATCCAAAGCAGAGATGGGGACACAAGAAGGGGATTTTGTTAAAGTCTAGGGGCAACATGGAAGTTTCTGCAACTGGATCAGACTAGGTGATAACATGTGAAGATGAAAATGTGGGTGATGAATGACAGGAGGACCTGAAGGGATAGATCCTGTTGAGAAATGAAGGAATATGAGACTTGCCAAGAAAACCAGAGCTCTGGGGCCGGTTCCGTCCTACCTAGGAGGCATGGTCTAACTGGAGCACGGAGAGCTCCGTTTTAAGGCAGGAACACAGCAATGGCTTAAATGTCCTAGTTCAAAGCTGCTCCTCAGAGATGCCTTCTCTTAAAACTCTTACTGCCCTTCTTCTACTTTCCATGATCCTGTTTTGTCTTTATACAGTCAAGGGTCTGAAAATTGGATACTCTCTCCTCCAGACCTCCCCTCGTCCTGGACTTTGACTGCCTTGTAACTGCCATATTCTGGGGGCCTGAAACTGCATGGTGTGCAGTAAGCACTCAGCTTAAGTGAATGTGACTGCCTTACATTTAGTGTAAAATACTCCTATGGGTCCATACATTCAACAAATGTTTAGTGCTTGCATCAGGCACTGGTCTATGATCAGGAATAATGTGAACAGACTGGAGTGACTTCACTTACTAATCATTTAAAATGTTTCCTAGTTAACAAGCTGTATTGCATCTGCATTTTTAACAAAAATGCATTCAGGAAGAATGAAGTTATAACTCAGGTCACATCTGAGGATCAGTTTTGAAGCAGCAGTTCTATTCAAGAAAGGACAATTTTCTTGATTTTTTTATTTTGCCTAGGAACTAATGTTGGCAAAGTGTCATCTTTTTTATTTTCCTTTCAGGTAGCAATTGTCGTATTAGGAAACAAAATTGACCTTTCTGAGCAGAGACAAGTGGATGCTGAGGTGGCACAGCAATGGGCAAGAAGTGAGAAAGTACGCCTGTGGGAGGTAACGGTTACAGATCGGAGAACTCTGATTGAGCCATTCACTCTCTTAGCCAGCAAACTTTCCCAGCCCCAGAGCAAATCGAGCTTTCCTTTGCCTGGGAGGAAAAACAAAGGGAACTCTAGCTCCGAGAACTAAAAATCAGTAATGCTACAACTGTCTGTTGAATAGATTGCCTTTAGGTGTCCATGAGCATATTTAAAACAAGGCATTTGCATCTACCTTTGGTCCTTAGGAAGCCTTTAAGGAAGTAATGTACTTTATAATTAAATTATTTGGGCTAAGTTTATTGCCTGATATGAAGTAATTATTTGCACTGTCATTGTTTGAAACTTGTCCCTGAACTTGGCACCTAAATTTTTGTTGCATTTGTCCAAAGAGTAAAATAAAGTTTGGGTAGTATGTAGGTATGTCTGTAAGACCAGTAGCTCCACAACCCCCAACTTGTTTCAGAAGCCATTTTTCTGTGTAACTTTATGCAAACTTCTCAGCTCAAATATAATTTTGTTTTTAAGAAGTTCATTAATCATCTAATGTCCAGAATTATAAAATGACATTTTTAGATCACAAACAGTAAACAATTTAGGTGTTAAATTTTATCTCATGGAGACCTTGCTAAATAGAACAAAACCTATGATTTAACTTAGTTCAAATTATATGTTTAGCATGACTTGAGGTAGTAGGTGGTGTAAATATGTTCAAAGCATTTGCTCTTTAGAAAACCACTAAGCACTGAAGGACACTAAAGCTTCCATTTCCACAAGTATTACTATACCTTCTTCAACAGTTTTCTGGATACACAGTCATGTGGAATAAAACGTATCATAAAAATATTGGACTTCAGGTTAGATACTGGAGTTTGTGCTGTGGTATTCTTTGAAGATTTTGGCAATATCCGAGCAGTGGGACTAACTGTATTTCACAAGCTGACGATACTGTAACTAATTTTAGAAGTAGGAAGCAAGCTACTTAGTATTTCAACTGGCAAAGCAGTTTTTTTTAGAAGTGGGGGCAGGGAGCAGAGGGAAAGTGAAAGAATCTTAAGCAGGTTCTGTGGCTGGATCTCACAACCCTGAGATCATGACCTGAGCCACAATCAAGAATCGGATGCTTCACCACCTGAGCCACCCAGGCACCCCTCAGCTATTTGATCTATATGTAAAATATGAAATAAGCTGTTCAGCAAAGACACGTTAAAAAAAAACTAGTACACTTTTTTAAGTAAACTCTACCCATGGGGCTCAAAGTCAGGACCCCAAGATTGAGTCTCTACCAACATTTCTGAAGTGGAGTACTTTCAAGGCTAGGTTCAGTGAATTTAAAGTCAATTGGTTCATTTCTGTGAGAGTTCAAACCAAGAACTGCATAATACAAAACCTGCAAATCAGCTAGTGTTGCTTCCATTTAACTGGCTAAAATTCCTCATCACAAATACATTTTTTTGCCAAAAAACTTATTCAGATAATGGCTAAGTCATGCCCTGAGGTTGATCTCGGTTTCTTTCCTATTATTTTTACAGAGATGAATAAATACAGTGATTTAAAAAAGCTTCTCTGGAGTAGATGCAAAGAAACAGAACTGCTGGATATATGTACATTTAGGTACTGCCTAATTGCCCTCTCAGGGAGATGTATTAATACAGTCATGAGAATCCATCTTTAAGACACCTCAAAAACAGAATAGCATACCAAACCTAACCTAGTCTGTATTACTTGTAGGTTGTGTAGTAGCAAAACTTTAGAAGAATCTGCAAACTACAAACACAGGCAAAAGAAAGTAAATGAATACAGCAGTGTTAGGTGGTTGTTTTAATATTGTTTATTAGCACAGTAACAAATGCAGACTTAAGTAGTCCACAACATATAACCAATCCACTGAGCAACTCCTATTCCACACCTTACAGTTAACAGCTTAAGGTATTTTACTACAGGTTTTCACAAGTCGTGATTCAAACCTCTTGTCACAATAAAGTAGATTGGCATATAAAATAAAATACATAACTACTCATTTCCTATATGGTGTCTTATAGCCACGTATCCATTTTATATATATGAGATGACAGTCTCTAAAAACTGTTAAATATCAATGTTCCCTCCCAAGAAGGGAAAACAAATTCCAATTTTTTTGAAAAAAAAAAAAAGTGTAGTCTTGGAAGGACTTTACATAAACGGCCATGTGTGTAACCTGTACAAAATTAATCTATTTTAAATTTACAGACTACAAGCAACTGAACCCAAATGTCTATTCTCTGTACTACATTTCAGCTAATATTGCAGAACTAATGACAGTTTTAAAAGTTGCTATTACCAATTCTGTCTACTGTAGCAAGATACCTTAAGTTACAACAAAATCTTAGGAAATAAGACTGAATAATATCTGTTATAGAAATACCCTACTCTTTACCAACTCCCACCCTCCCCCACCCCTTCAAAATCATAAGCAGCTCTCTGTGACAGACAATGTAAGAATTGTGAAAACCCAATTTATGTAGCGTATCTCTTGGTCCACTGTCTGGCCATTCTGTCATGTTCTGCTCTGTTGGTCATATACTGAGTGGCAATACTTCCCACCAAAGGGTCAGCTAGAAGAAGAGAATGTTTCAAATTTTAGCACATAAATCAGTGACAGCTTGGAAACAAATATGCAAAGTATTTGTGATCAAAACCAGTTTTGAAACACCGTTCCATCATCGTGGCCACCATATGCATGGGGAAAACTTCTTAACAAAACAAAATGCTCAGGCTTTAGTACTAGTGTAGCTTTATCGTTCATTCTATTTTTCTCCCAACAAACACCACCCAATTGGAAGTGTTTTTGCTCTTATGTGTTAGGTAAAGTTCAATAAAAACTGGAATGTTCAAGGCTACGATGAACATGGAATCCAACTGTGTTCACATGACTGTTCAGTGGAATACTGTAAAGTCCTCTAGGCTGTTCCAGTATTGACCTCTAAACTAGTTACTTAGAAAAACCCAGGTTACTAGGTCAAAACCTGGACCTCAACAATTAAGTAGAGTGTTGCTCCGAAACCTAAACAGAATCTTTAATAATAAAAGGAATAAGCTTCCCCCCAGACCCCACCGCAATCAGTCTGATAATCCCTAAGTATTATCTCACTTTCAAAATTTAACACCAGCTTTGGGGCAAGTACTCAGTGAACCAGCAGGCACAGGAGAGGTTAGGCAGATGACTCAACATTTAGTTAGAAATACATGGTTTAAAGAGAACTGTATGAAAAATGTGAAAACCTAAGGCAAATTTATAGAAGTCCTAGTTGTTTTAAAACATCTTGTTCCTAGAGCATAGAATTACTGCCTTTTTCAACTAGTAGATTGAACTTCTCGATTAAAACTTTCTTTGAAAAAAGATTAGTTTTTGTCCTTTTTTTTTTTTTTTAAGATTTATTTTTTCATTTGAGAAAAAGAACATGAGCAGGAGGGGCAGAGGGAGAAAGAATCCTAAGCAGGGCCCAACACGGCCTAATCCCACAACCTGAGCTGAAAACCAAGAGTTGGACACCCAACCGACTACATGTACATCCAGGTACCCCTACTTTTTGTTCTTTCAAAGCTCTTTGTACTTTATCAAAACAAGTATTTTTCAGGTGAGGAGAAAGAAGGAAAAAAAAAATTAACCTTACCAGGATTACAGTCTGTAAGAAGGGAGCAGATAGAAAGGAGAACTTTAGAAATGGTTAGTGCTGGACTCCAATTATCTTTTAATATGTCCAAGCAAATAACTCCTTGACTGTTAATGTTACAGTGATAGATTCTTGTCCGAAATGTAACCTAAAAAAATAAGACAGTATTAAAATTTAAACAGGAAACAATAAAATTTTTCCTAAATTGCTTTTTCAATTGAGTGGCTATAATTTAAAAATGTCTGTTTCTTTAAAAGATGAATAAAGAGTTTAAACTAAAGCTGGTAAGAGAGGTTAACATACACTCTCAGTCACTTCAATGGTAATATCCATCAACAAAAAGCATGGTAACTTCAGTTTTTTCTCAAATTCATCTTTAGTAGTTTCAGTGTTTTAAATACTTTTTAAGTTTGAAATAGCTAAGTGTTTGCTGACCTCTTGTGTTAGCTGGTGGTACTACATGGCCTTAAAGTAAGCTTTATAATAAATTCAGATACAATACAGTGGGTACATAAACAAAAGCAAAATGCTCAGCTGAAAAGGCTGAAAAAAAAAAAAAAGACGACAACGACGAGATTTGGTTCTGCTTTCTCTGACTTTTACATTAGATCCTGCAGATATCCCGTCTACGTAGGTCACAGAGTCACTAAAATGGAGTTCCACAAGTGAGGAGCCAGAAATGGGTAAGGATCATAGCAGTAGACAAATTAACACAAGCCATATAAGCCTGGGTTGCTTTATTCTGGTTTCCTAATTCTTATTTGTGAGACACAAAGAATCATTCAGAAGTAAAAATTACCACTTAGTAAATAAGAATCATAGATTGACTGTCACAGGAGATACTACCCTAGATAAGAAAACCCAAAGCCTGGAGGTTAAGAATTTGAGTAAGACCAAAACGTGACAAGGAGCAGAATCCAAAAGTCTTTGGTAGGAGATTCTGACTTTCTAATTACTTTAGTGCACAGATATTTTGACACCATTTTTAACTGTTCAGTAACTTCTTCCCTGTGAGTGGAAAATAGGGGATTGATTCTGGGTTGCTATGTTACTAAAAATAGCAGGATTTTAAGCACCATCAAAACAAAGCACATACTCCTAAGAACTATGGTCTCTGTAAGAGGCAAAGCCCCCTCCCCCCATGCAAGTGTTTTGTGTCCATCCAAATGTACTTAGAGATTCGTTAAGATATAACAGAAATCTACCTTTTGTGATTAAAACTCTATTTTAAAAGCTTCAACAGTCTCTCATGGCAATATGTAAATCTGACTATAAATCAGGAAATTCTTACCTTTGGAGGCTTGAAGGGGTATTCTGGTGTAAAAGTGATATCAAGGAAGAATACACCACCCTCATACACGGATCCTGGAGGGCCCAGAATGGTTGATCGCCATTCATAGATGTTATCACCTTTGGGACCAGCACTGTGAAGTAATACATCAAAAGGTAAGCAGATGGTGGCACCATGCAAGTTTTTACAGGGCATTAAAAAAAAAGGAAAAAAGATGATCTCTCCTCCCTTTTTGTTTAATGTGTGGATTCTCTCCACAAAACAGAAGTGTCTTTCAGACTCAATCTGATTCTGGACTGCAACAAACCCATCAGCCTTAAGTCAAGTAAACTGAATGATAAAGAATGTTTAAACCACTCTAAGCCTACTTAAGCTGTGAATAAGCAAGAAATTGAATTCTCAAACCTCTCCTCGATTATAAGAAAATGTAAATATTCAGTGGTTTTGCTCACAACTATTCATTTCTGATGACCATTTTAAGAACAAAGTTTCATTTCTGACTCACTGGGGTTCTTGTTCCTTGTTCTTCTATTTCCATAATCTTATCCTAAAAGGAGCCCAATGGATTACATACTTTTTACATTATAAACCATGTTGGGTGGGAGGAGCACAAGGATGACAGAGTATCCAATGGCAAGTTATTCAATTTGCCTTTCAATGTATAAAATGCTATAATCAAGTTCTCTAAAAATTACAGTTGGGATGTTCATTTATCCCTTTCCCTGTTAAATCACTTTTATATTTAGTTATACCATAATACCCTTCCAAAGCATTGTGTTGGCTTGTAGAGTGTTCTGTATCCAAGTACAATAAGAAAAACAGAAAAATTTTTACCCTCCAATTCCAACACCAATGAAGAACTTAATATAACCTGCCCAAACAACTAAGTGTGGGTAGGACTCTGGTATTGAGGAGAGAGGAAAAGATACTAATTTTAGGTACTAATTTTAAAAAGACTTCCCAGAGCATGGACATAACAGTATTCAATTGGTTAACTTACACGTTTTAGCTGAGATTTCTCAAACCTAGCTACAACAGTTGCTTCAAGGATAATGATGTGTGTCAGCCAAACAACAGAAAGGTCTTTACTTGGAGAGACTTGTATATCCCAGTCAATACACAGGATAATTTCTACAGAGCAGGCAAACTGCTATTTTAAATGAATGGATGGTATGAACTGGATTCATTCACTCATTCTTATTAAATGCCCATGTAGGCCAAGTTAAATGGCAGAGATTTCAATAATGAACAAGACAAAAACTCCTTGTCTTCAAGACGCCCTCTGCTAACTGGCTAGAGATGAGGTTCATTCAATTCCTTCATTTAAGAGAAAGATTAGAGGAAGAGGAAGGGAAAGGAAAAAAAAATAAAAAGATACCTGTCTGTGGCCTTATACTTTCCACAAACCCACCAGATTTTTTTTTCTTTCAGAATGAGTTTACAAAAGAAAACCAGAAAGAAACAGAAGTTGGGGAAGAAAACATGATGTGGCAAAAAAGGAGAGAAAAAATACAGATAGAAGAACATGCGCTAATGGGAAGAGTAGCCCCAAACTGGCCAAAAGGCACAGAGCTTGGACACTGACTTGAGCACTTACTAGCTATGTGACCTTGAGCAAGTCACTAAACCTAAACCACAAATTCTCAGGAATGTTTTGATCATTAAAATGGTGCGGGGAGGGGGGATGCGGGGGGAGAATCTCTGTAGAGAAACAGACCCACAGTAGTCTCATTAAATGGTAGTATCACAGTTGTTATGAATTATTCCTACTGATTTCAAATAGTATGGGTCCTTTAATATCCTTGTGATTGGTATTCTCAAGAACTTTTTTTTTTAAGATTTTATTTATTCATTTGAGGCAGAGGGAGAGGGAGAAGCAGGCTCCCCGCTGAGCCAGGAGCCCAATGTGGGGCTCGATCCCAGGACCCCGGGATCACGACCCGAGCTGAAGGCAGACGCTTAACAATCTGAGCCACCCAGGCGCCCCTCAAGAACTATTTAAAAACTTGTTTTGGAATGGATATATATGGAAAGAGATTATTTCACATGGTCTCTAATATGAAGTCCTGGATTTTTGTTGTTGTTGTTTAGTTTTAAGATCACTTCCTACTTTTATAGTATCATCTGACCGTAATTTTCACAAGGTGGGATGTAGGGAGAACTTTTAAATCAGCCCTCTACTTCTAGGAACATGCGGTAACCTCTAGTGAAAGGATACTATGCTGATTACAGCTTCATGTCCTGAGGTTAAAACTGGTCTTTGGTCATCTGGTCTGCCTACATATTTGCATCCAGTGTATGTTCTTGGGCAAAAAGTCTATAGACACTGGCCATTACAGCTAGGACACCTGTTCACCAGACTAGAGTGAACTTAAAAGTGGACTAATGAGGTGAGGACACCACTGATACAGAGGTTGCAGATAACATAACTATCCTATTTAATCTAGTTAATGATATCTAGGGCTTAAAGGCTAAAAGGCAAAGACAATCATCTGCTGTAAACCTCTCTTTTTACAGATGAGGAACCCAGGCCTGAAGGAGAAGCTAGGCCATCTAAAACCCAGTAATGGCAGCATTCCATACAGTTTTCCTCAGTCAGCTTGGTAATGCTAAGAAAGAGACCCAGAAAAAACTAGCAGTAAAGTCAGTCTCACCCTAGAGGTGACATGTTGACATGGGCCCAATTCTGCTGACCTCTTAGTACAGAAAACAGAACAAAGGTTTAACAATATAGCACTATAAGCAGCTTTTATGGATTGTACAGAAAACTGTAATTTCTGAACTTCATTGTTCCTCAACATAACCTATGGAACTTTCAAGATTCCTGACCCCTCATCCTAGGCCTGCCGAATTTAGAATATTCAGAAGGGACTTAAGAATCTATGGTGATCTTTAAACAGGTCTTGGTTGCTTTTGGGAATCACTGGTACAGGATACTGGAGGACAACCAGTTTAGAACATAAGCTTTAACATTACAGCTCATCACCTATGATATAACTGGATATTCAAATCAAGGTGGCTACTTGTGTGTAATCAGCTTTCAGTTTGGGTATAAACTTTTCGGAAAGTTCAGGAAAAAAAACAGAAAAGGGCATTAAGGAATCAAGTATGCAACATAAACATAACATAATAAAAAAATACCATGCTTCTGTCAAACTTTGAAAATGCAGAATAAAGGTGGGTTATATTAAGAAAAATAATACTAAGTGAAATAATATCAAATGAAGTTGAAATCCTAAAGCATGCAACAGGAGCCCTGGAGAAAACTAAACAGCATGGATCCCTAATCTGTGGATCCTCAACCAGGGGACTTGGGAGTTACAGGGAAGGATCTGAGAACCCACTGGAAGGACCAAGCATTGCTGCTTGAATAAAAACTTTACTCACTTTAAAGCTGTTACTGGAGAAATTCATATAACATTTTGTCATATGCATTTTATTAATCACAGAATGAAACAAAAATTACGGTCCTGCAAATCTTTTGCCTTTTTTTTCTTCCAGGTTCTCACTGTAAAGTTAGGATCTACTGATCTAGAAGGTGGGTAGACAGACCTATGGGGAGGAAGGGGTGAGGGCCCAAGTTTACAACTCTCTGAAGGCCACTGTGAAGGAGAACGAGGAACAAGAGAATCTTTACGTGCGACACTACAGGGAAAGGTCTGTTCCAGCACCCCACCCTCTTCTCTATAAAATGACTAACTAGGTTTACCCTCAGGTCAGCATATTCCTTTACCAGCCTTCTGTCCCCACCCTTTAAGATACGTTTTAGTTCCACAATAAGAACTTACGGAAATGTACTTTAGAATGGCATGTGATTTAAATTAGTAATTAATTTAAGTGATTAGAAAGTATGAGAGATGGGGGAGTTTAAATTAAGGGAATATGGGAACAAAAAAAATACACATCCCTGTTTGAAAATGTTGCAACATAACTGTGATTAGAATCTTGGCATGAGGCTGAGACTGAGAAGGTGGAAGGAGACCATGCCTTTGCCTTTCAGATTTTGTTAGAGACTTAAAACACCTCTCAAAATTAATGTATAATACACAGAACTCTTACACAAGTAAAAAAAAAAAAAAATTCTGCCCTTGGTTCAGTCTTTTTTCCTTCTAGTCAAAATAAATAGAGCTGTGGCAAACATTTTAAGAAAAATAACAGTCAAGGGCACCTGGCTGGCTCAGTTCTTAGAGCATGTGACTTTTTTTTAAGATTTTATTTTTTGAGAGAGAATGAGAGAGCATGAGAGGGGGGAGGGTCCCAGGCAGAAGCAGACACCCCACTGAGCAGGAAGCTGGACGTGGGACTTGATCCCATGACTCCAGGATCATGACCTAAGCCACCCAACCAACTGAGCCACCCAGGCACCCGAGCATGTAACTCTTGGTCTTGGGGTTTTGAGTACAAGCTCCACACTGGGCATAGAGCTTACTTTAAAAAAAAAAAAAAAAAGTCATTTCTACTTTTGACACAATATTTTCTTCTGTAATGGTTTCTGACTTCAGAGAGATACATTAACATTAGCAGCAGGGACTGTCATGAACCACAACATTCTTCTGAAGGAAGGTCTGCCTGTTGACTGATCAGCACCAAACTCAATGACAAGGACTCTTCCTCCACCAGCCTTTCCCTTAATGCTCAAAACCCGTTTCCTCCAGTAACCATGGGACAAGGCGGCTATACGTCATACTTCTTATGCCTTATTAATACTATATTGGTAATTAAATAGAATTTGAACAGTATAAAATATAATCAACACAGTCATTTAAGGTATAATCTTAAGAAATAAAACCAATTAGGAAAACTGTCATTAGAGTGGTCTTATTACAGAATTTGATGGGCCCTCTGGATTGACTTGAAAAAAAATTTTTTTTTTTTTTTTAAAGATTTTATTTGAGAGAGCGAGCACATGAGGGGGGAGGGTCAGAGGGAGAAGCAGACTTCCTGCTGAGCAGGGACCCCGATGTGGGACTCGATCCTGGGACTGGATCATGGACCTGAGCCGAAAGCAGTTGCTTAACCAACTGGGCCACCCAGGTGCCCCTGACTTGAAAATTACGATAATTACAAGAGGTAATGTTTAAGCTTCATTCTGTTTTAAAATCATGTTTTTGTAAGTCCTCCCCAACTCCTATC